GGTGAAATGAGGACCCAGACTGTGGGGGCGATATGCTGACTCTGTAAACCGCTTAGAGAGGGAGAGAAAGCCCTATGAAGCGGTATATAAGTCTAACTGCTATTGCTATTGTCATTTTGTAATTTTGAGACCACAATTTTTGCCATTTCTCTAAATCAAGCCCATATCCAAAATCCCCCCCCAAGCAATCATTGTTTCTTTAATGTGTTGTTGTTCTAGTTCATCAGTACCTGTCAGGATTTTATCTAAATCAGTCAATTTGTCATAAAAGCCTTCTATTTTAAAATCTTTATCATATCTAGAATGTATTTGCAGATATGAAAACTAATTCATCCTTATACCTTGTTCTTCCAGTTCTTGCATAGATTTAAGTTCACCTTTTGCATTTAATATTTCACCATATCTAACTGTTCCTTTTTAAGTGTTATTGGATATGAAAATGCTTCAATAGTTGATAACCATACTGGGATTTTTAAGTAATGATACCTTTTAATCTTCTCCCAGTTTAATAACAAAGCCTTGCGTATATAATGTCTTCTGAAATACCCCTGTGTTTTAATTCCCTTGTACCATAAGAAAGCGGGCCATCCCAACAACAAATCATGTCCTTCTAATGTCAATAATCTAGAATTTCTTAGTGTTATCCATTCCTTAACCCACATCAAACGTTGCCTGGTGGTATAACTCCCAGTTAGGCTGTTTGTCCATATATTATTGAGGTTGAAGCTGAAGAAGTCGTTATCAGATAAGAGGTTGGAATAGACAATTTTGTGTACTGTGCTTAGGGCATACTGCAGGTGGCGCAGTTCCAGATTGTCCAAGCCCAAAATTTCGAGCCTGGCGGCATAGGGAATTCTATTGTGAATAGAGGAGTAAAGTACTCTTCTCGTGAAGTACCTCTGGACCGGAGGTGGGTTCCTACCGATTCGGACCGGTTTGGCCGAAGAGGTAGTAACTTGGCAGCTTGGGTCTCTGGAACCGGCAGCGACCCAGGCCTGCTATGACCTTGAACCAGTTCCCTAGTCACTCACCCTGCCCACCCCCCACCTAGTCACTCCTTACCTCCCGGGCGGCTTCCTTGCCTAAGCTGCCTTGACTGCTTAAGCCAGTGTTTTTCAACCTTTTTTGTGCAAAGGCACACTTTTTTCATGAAAAAAATCATGAGGCACACCACAATTAGAAAATGTTAAAAAAAATTAACTCTGTGCCTATATTGACTATATATAAAGTAATTTTCCCACGGCACACCTTACACTATGTCACGGCACACTAGTGTGCCACAGCACAGTGGTTGAAAAACACTGGCTTTAAAGCACCCGGAGGCAGGACAAGAAGCAATGGGTGGAAACTAATCAAGGAGAGAAGATATATAACAAATATTCTCTCTTTCGTCTATCTATCTATCTATCTATCTATCTATCTATCTATCTATCTATCTATCTATCTATCTATCTAT